AGTAATGCTTTTTTCTGGAATTTCTAAAAAATTGAATTGATATTGCAATTTTTTAGTGACTGAGCAATATATCGTAGATACTTGCTCAGTAGCTACTAACTGGGTCCGCTGCTAAACAAAACATGTGACAGTTATGTCACTTTCCATTTGGTTATGTATATCACTATGGGTCATTAAGTGAGACATATGACTTGCAATCTTATTGCCAACTTTGCCACTGATTTTGCTTGTAAGACAACAGTTGTAAAGCATGTGGGGATGCCACAATGGTTGTGAATATGAGGACTGATTGTAAAATTACTTTTTCACCACCCCTGTAACCTCAAATAGTTGCTAAACAGGGCTGCTGTAAAGTGAAGACTATCTTTATTCAATCAAATGTTACAATTGAATGGACATTAACAACTGAGCCTGAACACTTTGAAGCAGAGTAACAGGAAGAGGAATATGGCTTCATTCATTGGCTTATGAATTAAGGCAACAAAGGAAAGTGTCTTATTTATAAATCTATTTTTACATGATATGATCAATTGGAAAGTTAATTATTGAATAAAAAATCTACAACTGTTTACTAATTAAAACTTTGAACAAATTGTTTACTTGTCATTTGTTCGGCATTATAAATATTAAAAACAATAGGTCTTTAGTGTGTTAACCTGGGAGCAACTGCACTGTGCCACAATAACCTTATGATCTCCCTTGGATGCATTATGTAATATTGAAATTGTACTTAACCTTAAAAGTACTTTGGCAGGACTTTTTAATAATAGCCCCCATGCACTGCAACAAGCTCCCTCTTGGGTCACATTTGGCAGCATTCTTCCAAGACATGTTACCATCATCCCATTCTAATATGCCTTTGAATTTGGGTAATAGTGGATGGCCACTACACTGGTTATAATACATATATTGGACCTTATATTTTATATTTATTCACTCTTTTACTCTCCTTGGTTTTAATAACTCATGGAGTCTCCACTGATGGTGAATATTGCAAATGAATTAACTAATTCCAATGATCATCTTTTAGTAATATGAAAGCACAATACCAAGCTATAAAGTTTTCAAAACAGAAATTAAAATATTTTTATATAACAAGGCATAGAGGAAAATTAAATCATTCCACTTTAAATAATATTTAAATGAACTTATAGATTGCAGAAGCAGCTATCAATGGCTGTGTACAGGATGCAAGGTTTGAACTCTTAAGTCAGGGGTCTTCAAACTTGACAGTTTTAAGACTTGTGGACTTCAACTCCCAGAATTCCTCTTCCAGTCATGTTAGCTCAGGAATTCTGGGAATTGAGGTCCACAAGTCTTAAACTTGCCAAGTTTGAAGACCCTGGTCTTAAGTTTTTCATGAACTGTTCCACCTTTAGGAAAAGAAAAAATTTCACTCTGCTCAGTAACAAAACCAGCCCCATCTTGTTTCATGGAGGGATACTGTAATCTGAACTGCTCTTTGAAGAAGGGATTTGTAGTTTACAAGTTCTAGCCAGAAATATAGTGAGAGGAAAATTTCCTCAACCTAATAGAATTCAACAAAGATCTATTTTGCAGGCAGTAACAATATTACAGTTATTCATCTATAGCTTTTCCTGCTCAAATAAAAAAATATTTCCCAATGATATGATTGATAAAAACATGTCTGTCATTAAGTCACAAACTGATTTATAAACCATAATGGGTGAATTACCTCAACACAGTAAACTAAGTCAATCAAAACACATTACAACTGTGTGCTATGACAGTTCAGCCTTCAATACATTATAATGAATCAAAGGCAGCTTAATGTAATACACAAATGTTGGATTCAGACAAAATCATATTTAAGGCTACTGAAATCAATATGAACAACTAATTATTAGTAACAGGTGCAACTGATTTCAGCAGGGTTATCATATTGTAAGCAATTCTATTTCATCTACCTGGAAATAGCTTTAACTGAATTGAAAAGAATTTATTTCTCAATAAGCATTAAAAACTATATCCAAGCACCTGATCCAAATAGGCTACCTAAGCTTTTCTTCTTCTCCTCACAAACATACAATTCCGGTAAAAGGAAATTAGGTCTAATATTTCATTCCAAGACTCAGGAAGATACTATTTAATCCACTGCAACAATGCACATAGCATTATATCTCAATTACTCAAAATCATTAATTCTGAATAGTGGAAGTCAGCTATAGTGTGAGGGCTTCAATACCTCAAGGGGTCTCTATAGAAAACAAGCCACGAGGAACTAATGTTGTAAGCCTTTATGTCATCCACTTGATAACTGTGAAGATCACACTTACAAAATAAGTTTCATGTGTCTCTGAATGATGGCCAGGGAAAACAAACAGGAATAATACATATACTATGTATCTAGCCTCACCTTATTCACACGTTCATCATCTGTCTCAATGCCTACACTATCAAGAATTTTCTTCAAATCTTTTGAGTTTGGAGATTCATTGCCACCAAGGACAGCAAGAAGGTAAGCTGCAACGTAACGCATTCTGTGAAGAGAAAAGCAAACATATGCATATTTGAACAGCAACATATATTTGTTAAATCTAGGACAAAGACATACTGTCTCAATTTCCTGAAAAACATATACATCACTCTCATAATTTTGATTGTACTCATACTGAAAATCCAACCCTACTCACTTTGCATGAAGTATGATCTAAGCCAGGAGTCTTCAAACTTGACAGCTTTAAGACTTGTGGACTTCAACTCCCAGAATTCCTCCTCCAGTCATGTCAGCTCAGGAATTCTGGAAGTTGAAGTCCACAAGTCTTAAACTTGCCAAATTTGAAGACCCTTGATCTAAGCTAACCTTTCCAGTTCAGTCTATGTATGGATATTAAAAATTAAAGATTGGGAATTTTATGCAGTAAAGATCCAACATCAGGGAGCATAAGTATAGCATATATTTTGTTAATTCTCATGTTATTATTTTTATTCTTAAAGAATCTCATAACAGGTATTTAAAAGAATACTGAACTTAGAAAGCCACTGCTCATTATTAGTATAAAAAAAACAGATTAGCTAGACACCTATCTTCCCAGCTATAAAATAAAAATTGAGCATTGCAAGTTCAAAGGAAGACTGGAAAAGGCAGTACTGATCTGTATTGTCTTCTATTGCTATGCTAAGGACAATACAAATTAAACTCGACCACATCTAAAAACTAGCAGCTTGAAAAAGTTGGGACTAGGTACAATATCTGAATCAGTTTAAACTCTGTAAAGGGCCTGGCTTTTAAACTGGAGGTTGTTTTTTAAAAGTATTTTTTGGAAAACTGTCTCTCTCCCAAAGAGGAAAAAGTACAGATCCTGATAGGCCAACCACAGCTCTCCTTTAAATACTGCTTCCACTTTTTAGAATTTAGAAAGGCATTTTGCTTTAACTTATTTTCCCCCAAAGTTTTAACATCCCATTTTCGAGTATGGTATAAATCCAGTGGCTTAATCTGAACATCCTTTGTACTGTATCTTATTTTTATTTCACAGTCCGCCGTGACTATGCCATCCGGTTTCTCACGCCAATTCGAGAAGCACATGGCCGCCATGTCACCCCAGGCCCAAGCTACATTTCTCGGCCTTTCTCCCTCAGATATATTCTCCCCCAGTGGAACAAAGCCTGGCCCTGCGTGTCTTGTGAGCACACCACAGGCACGGAGGCGCCGGCTTACAGCCCGCCATTACTTACTTCCCCGCGTTGTTCGCGCAAAGGCCAGGCCTCAGACCGCGCGCTCCTTAACACGGCAACAGCCAAAAAGAAAGGGCGGAGCCTACAAAGTAAGGTTCTTCCCTACGCCGCAACAATCGGCTCTCCCATTGGCCGCAAAAAGCCACCAATCCGAGATCACGTAGCTAGCCTGAAGCTTCGAAAGCGTTCCGCCAATAGAAACGCGAGTCTTCAAACGGCGAGACCGGCGCCTGCATGGGCGGGGTTTTTAATAGTAATCCCTGAGCCGGTAGGCGGAGCCTGCTGGTGAGAACTGAGAGTTTGATATAGTTTGAACTGGCGGAAATGAAATATTTGAATGTCGCTAACCTGAAATGATCTGAATCCAAAACCTATTCATTTGATCATTGCTTAGCTTCTATTATTAATAGGCTGCAATATGTCCTGAATCACAGGCAGCAGATTTTTAAAATTATCAGCTGCTATGGAGAGAAAGTGGAGAGAAGGCCTTCCTCTTCTAGCTGCTGAATGCATCTGGTTGATCGACCACAGGAAGAAGCTTATGGTTCTGTTAACAGATTTTTTTGAATTTTGTGTATATCAGAGCAGTCAACCAGATACGTTCAGAAACTCTGGCAATGTTCAGTGGCAAAGATATGCAAAATTCCAGAAAAGTTTAAAAGAGCCTCTCCCCCCACCCCCCAGTCTTTAACTGCCCTGATTTGGAAACAAATTCAAGAAGTTCAGTTTTTACTTTTAAATATAGGGTAAAATTGAACAACAACAACAAAAAAAACCTCCACATCCTTTTATGACTTATTTTTAACAGCGACCAGACTTCCCGGTTGTGAGAAAAGGGTTTTAGTCAAAAAGTTCAGAGTGTATTTGTATCATATTAAAGGTTGTAGTGAGTTTCTCCTTTATGTTTGATTATTTTTGTTCTTTAAAGTGTCCAGAATCCTTAGGATTTACTTTAATAGCAATAAATCTGAAATCCTCTGACATACCGTAATTAGCTCGTCATTGCTGAGCCTGGAAAAGCAAACCTATCCATTCTCACACCTGCTAAGGTTTGTTGGCAAAGAGCAGTTGATTGTAGAGTTCACTTAACCAGATCCTTGGCAGGCAAGCTAACTGCTTCCTTCCCCTTTGCCTTAAAACGCAGTAACCCTTAGTTTGCCTGGGTGAAAAGTCTTTTGAATGCACGGAAAGAACAGGAGCAGTTCTTCCTTTAACAAAAAAAAGTCCCGAGTCTTGGGGGGGGGACGGGGGGGGGGACGAGGCTTCTGTACACAGCGATGCGCAAACGTCAGTCGATCGACCGCAGCGGTTACGCATCCTGAGCGCGCATATTTTCTTCCTCAAAAGTAGCGTGGCTTCTTTTCAGCAACAGCAGGACGAAATGACTTCAAAAGAACAACAAAATGAACTTGCTGGGTAAGGTTTTGTTTTTTCCCCCCAGTGAGAATTGAGGAATGGGATTGTTCAATCGGAGGGACTGCTAACCCGAATGGAAATTTCTGTTAAAGCCTTTCTTCTCTAAACGAGACTGAAACCTAAAAGGACACCCTTCATTATACTTCTTTTTCTGGGCCATTTTTCTGCTTGCTTCCTGCAAACTTCCTCCAAAGTTGCTGGGTTTCTCCCCCGCCTCCTCAGAAGGTTATGACAAAATAAGTTAATAAAATCTAGTTGCTTCGCCTTAAGGTAAAATAAACCAAAAACATAAACATGAATTTATGCAAGGCACCATATCTGCCAGCAATTCGCTTCTCAAAACCGGAGCCCATTCCCACACCAACGACTGGAAATGCTCACGCTAACAGCTCTTGCGGTTATGATTTTTTCCCCCTCCAAAGCTGCATTTTACAAGAGCAAAAACATTTCAGAGATGTATGCGGATATTGGTTGAATCTGACCCTTCTAAGACGCGGAGAAAGTAACCACGCTGCCTCCCGGTTTTTGCTGCCTCTGCTCACAGTGTTCTCTTTCATGCCTTCTATTAACCTCTTCGGAGGATCTCACCAAGGGAAAGCAGCCTTGGTAGATAGATTATACTTCCCTGAAACTCCCATCTTCCTGATGCTGGCCTGTTCTTGGTATTCCCAGTGAGTATAAGGGCACCAGGTCGAGAAAGGATGTCAAGAATATTATGAGATCCATCCAGGAAGTCAACTTGCCCTTGTCTTCCTGGATGTGCAAAGGGCTTTTGATAACCTTAGTTGGGATTTTATGAAACAGCAGATCAATTTGATGGAATTTGGGGATAACTTTGTAAAAATGTTAAATTCAATTTACTCCACACAAAAGGCTAGGGTAATGATAAACAGCAATTTTACTAGTTCATTTGAGATAAAGAAAGGGGTCAGGTAGGGATTCCCATTACCACCTCTGCTTTTCATAAAGGTGCTAGAAACATTATTGGATAGAATTAGATTGAACAAAGAAATGAAAGGAACAAAGATTAAAAGGCAAGAATACAAATTACAAGCATTTGCAGATGACATGGTATTTATTATACAAGATCCAATTGATTCAGGACCAATATTACTAAGGGAAATAGATTAATTTGGCAAATTAGCAGGGTTGAAAATTAACAAAGAAAAGACTAACATGTTAGTTAAAAATTTAACAGAAAGCAGACAAAAAGAATTAGAAGAAATAATGGGTTTACAAATTATTAATAAGATCAAATATTTAGGCATTTGGTTAAGACCCAAAACTTTAACTTTGAAGGAAGATAATTATACAAAAATGCTACAACAAATTGGTAGAGATTTGGAAAATTGGAGTAAAATGCAAATTTCATTACTAGGTAGAATTGCCACCATTAAGATGAGTGTCCTACCTAAACTATTATATCTATTCCAAACGATTCCTATACAATTAGATAGAAAATTCTTTAAAGATTTGGACAAGATTACTATGTGTCATGCCCCTGGTGGAGACTGACTGAGGAAGAGGAGGAACAGCCAACAGGGAGTGGGAGTGTGGCTCCAGAGGTGGTGGAGGAGGCTGGGGAAGGGCAGAGGCCGGCTGAGCAGTCAGAGGAGGAACCAGGCCCATCCCCTATCCATCCTAAGTCACGCAGGGAGGAGAGGATCAGGGAAAAGCAAGGTCTACTCAAGAGGAGATTACCATGATCCTCCTCGTGGCTTGCAGGTGGGAGCTATGTATACAAGTTTGCAACTGCGCAGTTAGAATTTGCAGAAGTCAATTTAGTGTTCACCTTGAAAAGGGGTTATTTTTGCTGGCGTTCTTCCCATGGACTTTTCTCGGTTATTTTCCTGGAGTTTATGATTAGTTATCTTGGCTTGCTTCTGAACTCTCATCAATGCGGTTTGCTTTGGTTTTCTGTTTGCCTCATTATTTACTGTTGTGACTTTAAACTGTGCCTAATAAAACAGTGAAGTTAAGTTGAAGGCCTTACCTGACTTTAATATATGTTTTGGGTTTTGGGTTATTTTGAGAGACTACGGGTCATCACACTATGAAATTTACTTGGGCTGGTAAAAAAGCAAGAATTAAAAAGATCTATTTACAAGATAAAAGCAGAGGTGGCTTTGGACTCCCTGCCTGGGAGACTTATTACAGAGTGACTGCATTAGTCTGGATAAAGGATTGGATCAAATTGGAAAATAAAAGAGTTTTAACATTAGAAGGTCACAATTTACAAATAGGGTGGCATGCTTTCTTGTGGAATCCGAATATTAAAAGTCACATATTTTCATAGGCACACCCTCCATAAATCTTTGATAAAAACTTGGTCAGGTATTAGGAGTAATCACTATACTAAAATCCTGACATGGTTATCAACAATGGAGGCAATGTTCCATCCTAATACAATGGATATTAGTAAAAAGCTTAAATACTATCAAATACTAAATAATGAAGGGAAACTTAAATCCACTCATGAATTAGAAGCCCAAGGCTATCTATTGATTGTTGGTCATATCTCCAAGTAGCAATGAGATACGACAGGGATGCAAAAGATTTTGGATTAGAAATAAAAAATATACAATTGGATAAAATCGTCTTGGGCCCAGAAAAGAACATGATATCTAAATTATACAACTATTTAATAGAATTTGACCTAGCCGAGGAAATTGTGAAAGGACCAATGATAGCATGGGCAAAAATTTTGGGCTGTAATATAAATTTAGATGATTGGGAAGAGATTTAGCAAAGGAACTTTACATTAACAAAATCAGTATCCTATAAAGAAAATTTATACAAAATGTTATATAGATGGCATCGGGCACCCTCTAGATTGGCAAAAATGTATCCAACAGTAAATTAAACCTGCTGGAAATGTAAGGGAAATTATGGTACCTTCTTCCATCTCCGGTGGAAATGTCCAGAAATTAAAAAAATTCTGGATTAGGATTAAGTTATAGATAAAAGAAATAATCCAGGATGGATTGGAGTGGAAACCAGAATTGTTTCTCCTGGGTATAATTAAAGGGGATTATTCACTCAAAGTAAGATACTTAATTATCCACATCTTAACAGCGACACAAATCTCACTGGCATACTACTGGAAAAAGCCTAATGTACCACCTCTATATTTTGTTATTTAGAAAATATACGAATGTGCTGAAATGGAAAGGCTTACATTGAAATTAAAAGAGAAAGATGATGCGGAATATTATCGGATCTGGGACAAATGGTACGAATGGATAGATCGTAAAGAAAAACAATGTATAAAATAAAAAGAAATAAGGACTTTAAGAAATATATTATTATATAAAGGTCAAAGGACAGAGAATCATTGGGTATGAGTTTTTACTCTTTCATTTTGATTAAGCCAAATCATAACTATTGATGGATTATAAAATTTATTTATTTATAAAATTATATAGTAATCCAGGAGTAAGAAATGATTAATATGTAATATATATTATTAATATAGCTATTTTACAATGGATAGAAAGTAACCGCCACTTAATAATCTAGATGGAATATTTAAATACTATCAAACTGTACTAGAGGAAAATAAGATTGGTTGCACTATAGAATTTGTTATGCTTACTTGTACAATTGTGTATTTTAACTTTTTGTATTTAATAAAGTGTTTTTTTTTAATTAAAAAAAGAGCAAGGATGTCAAAATAAAAAGCAGGAAGTGTATTTAGGTAAGCGAACCTTGTAATGAATAATCAAGCACTTGTAAAAGGGGTCTTGGGTTTTCTTTTTTTCTTTTTTGTTCCTTCAATGAAGTATTGGCTCCTGGCAACTGCCTGGAGCTTAGTTGGCAAGATTTTTCAGAAATGGTTTACCATTGCCTACTTTCTAGAGCTGAGAGAGAGAGATTGACCCAAGATTACCCAGCTGTCTTTGTGGCTAAAATAGAACTAGAATTCACTATCTCATAGTGTCTGCACTGGTATGCTAAACTGGCTGTTTTATATTAGATATACTAATTTTAAGTTAATTAATAAATGAGGCTTGGGGGCTTTTTTTTCTTAACATTCTCCAAAACTGTTTAATGAAAGAAGAAACTAATGCTTGGCAAAGGAAATAATAAATCATATACAAAAGGAATGGGGCATTTATGCTGTGCAGACTTGAGATACATTACCAGAAACTAAGACTTGTTTTTCAGTAAATATACATTATATTACAGTAGTCCTTGACTTACAATCATTCATTTAGTGACCGTTCAAAGTTACAATGCCATGAAAAAAAATGACTTATGATCGATCCAAACACTTCCGGCATGAGCAGCCCATGCTGAAAAGCCCCCATGCTCAAAATTCTTGATGCTTGGCAACCGGTGTGTACACACAACAGTTGCAGCGTTCAAAGCGATCATCCCTTCTAACCTTCCCAGCCCGCTTCCAACATGCAATCAGTGATAAAGTTGGATTTGCTTAACAACCACATGATTTGCTTAATAACCACATTCACTTAACTACAGTGATTTGCGTAACAACTGTGGCAAAAAATGATAAAATTGGACACAACTTATTTTACAACCGCTTTGCTTAGCAAAGGAAATTCTGGCCCCAGTTGTGATCAAAAGTCAAGGGCTCTCTGTATGTGCCATTTTTTTCCCATTCCTAGCATTTTCACACAAGTTCAGGTTCCACTTTTTAAGGACCAACCTAGCATTGATCCATTGGTTACAACAGGAATTCACCAACCAGCTTATTGCCTCAGCCTGATATCATGGCCTGAGAGAGAATGGCCCCAAGTCACTTAACGGGCTTACATGTAAGACAGTATGGAACCTATAGTCTCCTGGTTTCTGGCCTAGTGCTTTAACCACTAGATCAAACTGGCTCTATAGCATGCAATGTAATGTGCAATATAATGTAATTGTATTAATTTTCTGGATTCATTCTGGCACCGTTTGGTGACAAGATGATTCTTTGCTCTAAAATACAAGATAAATGTGATAAAAGACAGCACTGCTGACATATGCTTCATAGTTGGTATAGAAATTATGCTATTAAGAGAAAAACTGCACCTACTCTTTTTTTTAAAGTATTTCTTATAGCTAATTGCCCTATCAGTTCCTCATCTGTTCAAGAAGATTATTTTTACAAGATATGGCTGTGTGACTATCTTAGGGAGACATTACTTAAAGCACTGGAAGCTTCAAATATCCAACAATTTCTTGCCCACAAGAAATTCCTTATTTTAGTGTAAAAGCAATTATCACTTGAAAATGTGTGCTTGAATAAAAGGACGCCTGGAAGACAGGACTTGTCGATGATATCTTGCTCAGGTGCAATCTCTGTGGCTTTCTTCACCAGACTAATTGTGCAGTTCTATAATTTCCTAAACTGTTTTCATGTTCTTCCCATCCTTTCTCCCCAGAGGCTGCCTCATTCTTCCATCTTTAATGATTTGTAGTACCATTGGCAAGTCAGAACATGCATAGCCCGTGGTGATATAAAACCAGAAGATGGCAGGACTGCCAGAGCCTGGGGACCCTCCAGGGGAGGGCATTTTGGGGGCTGAGGCATTTTCTATTTCCTATTTGGCTGGCAACCGATTGAACTTGGACGTCTATCCTGAGAGCTGTTGGTTGTTCCTCAAGCTGCTGAAGACCAGGAGAGAAGAAGTAGAACAGGTGGAGTTCTTGAGGCTGAACTGCAATGAGGACCTTATCACTTCCACCCTGAGCAGCCTTCCTGCTTTGAGGGGCTTGAAATCTCTTGTGCTCAAAGGTAACTGCACGTTTATATGGCCACTTTGTTCAGCTGCCTGTTTCTAATGTGCTCTTTCACAGTTTCTTTTTCTGTCCTGATGGTTTGGTTCATTTTCTTGTAGCTTCCTTCGCAAAGTTATGTGGCAAGAGGTGTCTGCCTTTACTTAGATGTTGTTCACGCTTCTTAAAAGGGGCTCACTTGCAAATAATGGTGGAAAAGCTTGTAGCCTTAGCGTTCTTCGATGGGGAAAAAAAACCCCACAATGTCCTGCTAATATTTTTTTGTCTGGCATGGATTACCACTACAATGATGGAGAGTTCTGTGATAGAAGGTTGCAATTTGTGATAGCATTCCTGTCAAATACAGATGCTTTCACAATTGAGAGCATGCAAAAATACAAAATCAATGGAGCTAATTCCTCTGGCTTCTTTCCTCCAAAAGTTTATATGAATCTTGATCTCACAATCATGCAGCATATTCAACTCATTTTAACAGATGTGTAAAATTTCTAAACTGTGATTGAGCTTTTTTTTTTCTCATCTTTTGTCTTTTTACAGCTTTCATTGCATAAAACCAGCAATATTTTCTGTGATGTTGCTCAGCATGTTGAGGGGTATATAGATATAGCACAATAGCTGTTCTTTAAGCACAGTGTGTCTTACTTAATTCCCCTCTCCCTTTCATTTGTGCAGAAGAGATTTTAATATTTAGTTAAGTCTGGAATTTTTATCCTATTTTCCCTAAAACAAAGCCATGGCAATATTTACATCTTAATTCAGAATGTATATTCAGAGAACTACACTCTTATTTCTGCACAGATTATGTACAAATTCAATCTGCAAATGTGATATCCTATTAAAGTCAGTGTCATGCAACTCAGTCATATATAATACCTAATATTTTTGCCTGTTATGTAAATGATAGCTAAAAAACAACTCCTTAGAAATATAGTTGTTATTAATGCACTTATTAATAATGGTGAGTTAATGCTGAATATAAACCAAATAGCTCCCTCTTCTCAATTGCAGCTTCCCAGTTTAGTAATGTGTATCATTAGAGAACCATTCGAGTTAGTGGACCAAAAGGCCCAAGCAATTCTGATTTTCAGTGAGAATTTAGCCATCTCTGTCTTGGTCTCTTTATTACCATTGTATCCTGAAAGAAGCAGAAGAACCTCACCAAACGTTCACTCACTATAGTTGTCTCATAGTGTTGCATGCATCAAAGTTCTTTAGCTTCCCGTGCATTCCTTAAAGTTTCATTTTGTATTGCAGATTATTTCAAGTAAATACCATGTCTATGAAGTTACTGTGGTGCAAACGTCTTTTTTTTTTTTTTTTTTACTTTTGCTTGCTTTCAGGTGGACACTCCAGAGATGACATTGGTGCATGTCAGAAAGGATTGCTAGCATCTTTGCCACAAGAGTTTGGGCAGCTACAATGCCTTGTTCATCTAGATCTCAGCTTCAACAGCTTCACCATTTTACCTCCCTGCATTGCTAAGCTGGCCAGCCTCAGTTTTCTCTCAGTCAACCACAACAACTTGCAGAGGCTGCCTGAGGACTTTGGCCAGCTTGCCAAGCTGACCTTTTTCTCTGCCATGAAGAACCAGCTCAAAGGTCTGCCGCAAAGCATCGGGGGCCTGGCAGCATTGCAGACACTGAACCTCTCTGAAAACGCACTGGAATCACTTCCCGAAGAGATTGGGAACTTGCACAGCTGCACTGAACTTGATCTCTCTGGAAATGAATTAACAGGAATACCCAGTTCTCTTGGTAAGCTGTTCACAAATTAAAGAAAAGAACACGGATTCCTTATTCTACTTCCTGGGAGTAAGAAGTGCTCCAGGTTAGGAAAAAACACTGATTGAGGAGGCAGAGAAGCTTTACCTGGGATTAAAATAATAATAATCCATTTATGGCATCCTTGCAACCAACTATAACCCTGAATATATAACAGGCTAAGTCTGATTTCTTCTGCACCTTTATCAATTAGATGTTTCTTGTATGGGTATATATCCATATTGGTCGACAATGCATGGTTCTTCATACCATTAAAGGAGAATATTTGTAGCTCAGGGTTGAAATGAGGGGTCCTTGGTGCTCTCTGAGTTTGCTTGCTTTCTTGCAAGATGTTTCATTAGCCAATCTAGCTGACATCATCAGTGCTGGTGATGTTACCTAGTTTGGGTAATGGAATATCTGCAAGAAAACAAGCAAGCTCAGAGAGGACCAAGGACCCCTCATAGTTCTTTATAATTGGTGTGGCAGTGTGAATGTAAGGCTAAGACAGAGGTCCCCAAACTTGGCAACTTTAAGACTTGTGGACTTCAACTCCCAGAATTCCTGAGATAACATAACTGGAGGAGGAATTCTGGGAGTTGGAGCCCACAAGTCTTAAAGTTGCCAAGTTTGGAGACCTGTGGGCTAAGAGATCAAGTATGCAGTGGTTGGTTGTTTTGTATCTATAACAACTAGGTTGGGATGGATTGGCATAAGACCCCTGGCGTTTTCTAAAGGGTTTTGTAATTTATAGAGGTTAAGAGAGGTATGTGAATGTACGTGTTTATTTGATTTTACCATGGCTAGGTTTTCTTACAATTTTTAATCTGCGTTGTGACCTGCAGCCAATTTACAGTCTCTGCAGCAGCTGCATCTTCACAGCAATCTTTTGACAACTGTTCCTGCCTCCCTTGCCTGCCTGCCTCACTTGTCCAGACTTGATCTGCAGAATAATAGGCTTCGAAGCATCCCTCCGGAGATTCAGAGTTTTCCCTTTGTGCATCTAAGGGGCAATCCTCTAGGAGAACTGGAGGTGCCTCTGCAGTCAGGTAATTGCTTTTTTCTGCTTGATTTGCCTACTGAACAGCTGTTCTCTGGCACTCTCGTCTCATCCTGGGGAGATACCATCGGATCAACTATTTTGGCTGGCACAGAATAGGGTGTTCTCTTTTGTTGTTGTTGTTGTTGTTGTTAAAAGCAGTTCCCAAACTGAAGACATAGTCATTCTTAATACAAAATATATACTAGGAAGGCATAATTGGAAAAACCACTTGAATTTCTTGTTGGTATTAGTTATTTGTTCCATTTTTTCAGCTGCTTAGTCAAAATAACTGTTTAGAAGATATACAGCACTTAAAATAAAACTAACTATAATCCATAATTCCTTTAAACAGAAAAATTAAAAAAACAAGAAAGTGGGGGGGGGGGGATTTATCAAACCGAAAACAATTCCAAAGCAAGCTGAAAATCAAACACCCTATAGCTGAAAGGCAACAGAATTTTTTTTTTTGACAGGGTTAAATAACTGTGCTGAAGCCACAATACATGAAACACTTTAAATTTTTAAAATTAAAAGATTAAAGATTTTTGAAATGTCTAGGAAATAACAGCATGTCATTTATAATATGTCAGAAGAGTTTTACAATAATTGAGGAGGATCTGTTCAGTTGGATAACTGCAATTATCCTTTTTTTTTTCATGTGACTCAGATGCAGCTATGCTTGTAAAATAAAAATAAAAAGTTGCTTCACAGGCATCTGGTCATAACATACTTATTATTTGTCATTTCTTTATTAATATCTGTTCTTCCTGTCTTCTAGGCTCACATGACAGTCTCTCCTTATGTTTTTCCAAAACAGTAAAGAGAGGTTAGGACATGGACAGGTTTCCCTACATTATACTCCTCTTCTTCTCAACCACAGATCTGAAGGAAGTCCTTTTGGTTTTCTTGCAGGTGACACTAGTTCAGAAGAATTGCAGAGAGTGTATCTTAAAGCTGATGAAGACAGGTATTTCATGTGGTGTTTAGCTTGGTCAGGTGTCCTCCTAACTCCCCATTGATTTACCATATGTAGGCATCCAATACAAACCATAATAACATAACAAATAATGCAAATTACAGTCTTGTTATTTAATCTATGACATTCGTGCGTTTTGTGATATCACTTCCTTCCAAAGATACCCCCGATAGCATCTGTATTGCACCCAAGGTTTTTCTTAACCGGTGTCATTCATTCAAATATGATTTTAAAGATTTTGTTTAAAATCTCAGCTCATTCAAGCGAGCCAGATTTTGCTTTTGAAGACTAAAGAGTTGCTTTACAACTACTGATGGTTGAGCTTGTGCAGTGAAAGTAGGCATAGACAACAAAGTGGGTGTTCCAGGGCAACTGTCATGATATTAGCTGCCTGGCAGAGTCTCCCGATGCCTAGAATTTGCATTCCTGTGGGAAGGAGGAATGGGAACATCTGATGATAGTGAAAAAGAGTTTCATCTGTTTTGTCATCTCAGCTTATTCATGGAGCATAGCGAGAGATTGTGTGGGTGTTGTATGAGTGAGTGTGTTTTTCTTTGTTGTTGTTGCTTGTCCAGAAAGCTATGCATATTTCCTGAAGATTTGGGGATAAAGAAATGATAACTGGGACTCTTAAGCAGTCTTGGTACATTCTTTGATCATGATTGTAGGAACTGACAACACAGTTTTTAACCTCAAAAGAATGGGGAATCTATAAGATAAATCTTAATAAAGGGATAGTCATATTTTGTCAAAGGCTGTCAATTGGCAATCTAAATTGGGCCTTTATGTTTAAGGTGCTAGAAGAAATGGACTTTGGATTGAACTTTATCCAAGGAATTAAACTGATCTATATGTCCCAGAATGCAAAAATTGTTATAAATGGTGACTTAACTAATTCATGCAAAATTCAAAAGGATACAAGACAAGGGTGTCCCTTGTGTCCTCTGTTGTTTAACTTGGTTTTGGAAGTCCTGAATAGAAGTATTAGACAAAATGATAAAATAAGGGGTACAAATATTGAGATAAATTGAGGGCCTTCTCTGAAGATCTGGTTATAATTTTACAGGATTCAAAAATAATATAGAATACCTGATGAGGAAATTTAATGAATTTGGGGCTTTGGCAGATTTCAAAATAAATAAACAGAAAACAACAATGCTGACCCAGAATATGTCTTCTCAGGATAATGATATATTGAATAAAAAGTTGGATTTTAGAGACATATTCACAATTAAAACAATCTCCCCACAAGCCCAGCTCCTCTCACTCTGCAGAGCTCACCTCAAAACTATAGTAACCAAAAAGTGGTCCACCCTTGTTTAGCCCATAGCCTTTTTTTTTAAAAAAAACCCTAAATTCCAGATGAAGCAAAGACAGACAGGTTGGACTCCAGCACCCTATAATTTACAATTTTGAAGCATTGTTGATTTATGGGAGTTGTGATCCAATTCATAATTATTTTTCATTTCAATTCTTCCATCTCAGCAAGAATAGAGATTATAAAGACGTTTTGTTTCTTTTTGCATTTCCATAGCTTTACTGTGACTCCTGAAGGCTGCCGGGTCTTCTTGGCTTGTGGCATTCAACTCCGTTTCCCGCGGAGTGCTACAACTACTCCAGTAACTATTCACTTCCAGAAATGCTCCCCTGACCCTCATTGGGTAAAGCTGAAGCACCATGACATCCTGCTAAGTGAAGCCCTGGAACTGCAGCCCCATGGGATTCATTTCCATCAGGTAAACACAGAGATTAAGGTTTAAAAGAGATTAAGCTGGAACCTTGTAAATTATCTTGTTCGTGTTAGTCTGCAGATTTACAATGTAAAGACTAACGTGGACCAGAAGGAAAAAAATATGCAGAGCGTGGCTTCTGGAATTCTTTCCAAACTCTTTTACAACTGTTATTTCCTTCTGTGTGATTAAGTAATATGTTTGCCTTCTCTGAGTGTGATTCTGTTGTTCCCTCTGATTGAGTCTGTACGTATGTACTAGGGAGCGGAGGGCAGGCTGCAAGCCTATACTCCACTTGGAACAATCAACAGCATTTTGAGCTGTTGCCCATTTTCCTCTCCTTCTAGAATGATTTTTCTTCTCCATGAACCCTGGCTGGATTTAGTCATTTTCAAGCTCAATCCTTCTTTTGATAGCTTTTTTCTCAGACAGACAAACAGATAGAGTTCTGAGTACCTATACATCTTTTATTTCCTTTGGGTTGTTGCACTGCTTGGTGGTGGAATAGTCGCTTGTTAAATAGGCTAGTGAGTTGGATCATCCAATGGGTTCTTACTAAAAGATTTTGGACTGAATTTTGAATTTCCAATAATATGGCTCACCACCACTCAGACATTAATCCAGATTAGAGACCTGGAATCTAGGAAATTTAAGGGGAGAATGTTGTTGAGTAAGTGTTCAATATCTCTGTTGCTTTGCTTTGCTTTGCTAACTCCCTAAACCTTGGCAATGGCATTCCATGCCAGGCTGTTTTGTACAGTGAGCAGATGGTGCTGCCTGTGTTCCTTTGTTGCGTGAGCATCCATGTGAGGGAGAAGTGGGTCAAATGATAATTTGCATGTGACAATATCATGCATGTCATCACCAGGATGCAAATATATAATGACAGCCTTTGTGTGATAATATCATTGTACATATGCTATCATTTTGAGAGATTGTGGATATTGCTGTTTGCAGGCAGCATGCTGAACTAGGCCAAGTTTTGGGTGGAAAAGAATATTCATTTCCTTTCCATTTAGTGTGAGGCGTAAATCCTTTTGAATCATGTCTGTGAGGATCTATATCATTTATGTATGGACAACTGCACTATAGTATGCTAACTTCCATATGATCACTTCCCGTTTCCTATATTGCCCCTTTAGTGTCCTTTTTCTGCTCCCTGGAGCGAGTATTTTTCTTGCTTCATATATTGCAGAGCTTGACTAAGGTTGTCTCTGTGGGATGAACTTATGGACACCCTCTCTTCTATCTTGGTATGCAAGGAGGTGCGGATCTGGATGCCCTATGCTTCTCCTCACAGCCTGAATGACCGTGAGCTCATCATTCGAACCTTTGATGGGCATAAGTGGAGTGATTTGAGAACCAGAGTGAAATGCAAAGGCAAGGTATGTTGAGGATGTTTTAATATCCATCTCTTTCTTTGTCATTTCTCATTTTTCCTTGTGTCAAATGAGGGCCCCTCATTTGAGCTTCTGTAGGAACTTGACATGTAAACTCTGTCTGATATGAACAATCTCTTATAGTTTAGAACAGTGTTTCTCAACCTCAGCAACTTTAAGAAGTGTGGACTTTAACTCCCAAGAATTAGGGATCCCCGACTCCCTTGGCTGTGGCATTCTAGTCTGCAGGCTGTCTTGTGCCCTGGGAATTGCATTCTGGGGGTTGAAGTCCACACTTCTTAAAATTGGTGAGGTTGAAAAACACTGGTTTAGAAATGATCAAGCTCTTTGGTTGACCTTTAAAGAAACATTCAGTGCATCAATATTTCAATGGTTTAGTTCAGATATAAACTCTTTGAAGAAATGTGAACCCCTCATGTGATGAGAGGAAGATGTCCTGTTTTTTTATTATACAGAGCTGTTAAATAAGTAATTCAA